TGAGGTCTTTTGACTTCTCGTTTCAACCATTCTGCCTGAAACCGTTCCCCTTTTGTTAGACCGGGATCGCTTGATCCAATCCACAAAAGGATCGGTCATCGTTTTTCTTTGCTTTTCAGTTATGAATTTCCTAGAGCTAATACCTCGCTTTGGTATCCTTGACTTGTCTAGACTCATTCTCTATTTGTCACTTTCCAATGCCTACTCTTAACTAGATTGCTAGAGACCTTATAGTTTTATTAACAATAAAATGACACAACACAATCAATTTCACCAGATTCTATTAAATAGTGACCACGAATCTCTGTATGTTATTAGAGTACAGTTTGTATAAAATTTATTCACACTAATCGATTATCGTTCCAAAGATTTGGAAACTAGCACAATATGATGTTATCAATCAATTTAAAAGATAGTGTATTCACTACCCAATCAAGCACAATTTACGTTGATTTAAAATCAAAAACCAAAAATATATATTGACACAATATGAATGTATATATGATAAAAACAAAAAAAACGTATGTGTTTTGTACTCTTAGTGGGTCGCAGTACAATAGTCGAACCTGTCTTTTAAAGAAAAAGCTTTCCCTGCTCGGTGCTGCACCAAACAGACAAAACTTTGAAGGCAGTAATTTTCTCAAGTGGGCGTCTATTGCACCCACCGAGTACTGTGTTACCTATCTGCCTTCGGACTGCCCGAGCTAGACCTACTAAATTCCTCAGGGCAGTCACTTTTCCCAAAAATGTATTATGTCCAATCCACACCAATGAACCACGCTCTTTTTAATTTAGACTTAGTGTCGCGAATATCCGAGTTTGGACTTGTATTGTATTAGTCTGGTTTTTATCTAAAGGCAAGTTACCAGTGCAGTCACTGATAGCTAGCCTGTGTATTAATAACTTAATACTTCTCACTTTTTAGTCTTTCTTTCGTTCACCTAAGTCCTTAATAAAATAATACCCCTCGGGATTGGCACAAATAGGACCCTTCCGGATTTGTCAGAATCTAGACCCCTCCGGATTGGCACAAATAGGACCCTTCCGGATTTGTCAGAATCTAGACCCCTCCAGATTTGGACCCCTCCGAATTAGCTACTATAAGACCCCTCCGGATTGGGACCCCTCTTGTAAAAACTTTGACCCCTCCGGATTGGGAGCCCTCCGATTTTGTAAAAGTAGTTTTTAGGAGATTTCCCTTTTTCAACCTATATCCCTCCTAATACGTTCTGTGTTACTATTATGCTGTTTGAATTAACTGGGAAGGGTATAGGGTCCTTTCCTAGACCCCTCCGGATTGAAGTTAAGGCACTTATTTGACAATTCACACTAACGGTGAAGGGTCTTATCGCTTACCTAATTTCGACTCTATTATGGTTGTCTTGTGCCTTCAGCTCTCCTTTTCCATCTAGAACTGTCCTAAGTTACTTAGTTCAATCGCTATCAACTTTTGGTTGAGGTCTAAGGGTTTTTCAGAAAAATTTGTAAAACGTGAAGGGTGTACCCCTCCGGATTTGTGTGATTTGCTAAAAACAATCTCAAAAATTTTTTTTCTCTCGTTTTTCCGAAAAATTTCTGATCTTATCAGTAAGCTCAGCTAATTTCTGATCTATTGGTACCAAGATCAACTCGATATGCCCAGTATTTCCAAAATTATTAACCAAAACGTCTTTTTTCCAAATTCAAAAATTTTCTCTCCTATAGGTTCCGCCTAACTTTTTCCTCAAATCTGGTCCTTTCGACCTAAAAATTATTGATCCGAGCTCAAGAGGCCTATACTCTTCTAGTTCAATGCAAAAGACCCGATCTAAAACGTTTTTGTAGAAAAAATTTGCGAAAAACTATGCTACCTGGACCCCTCCGGATTGGTGAATCTACCAAATCAAACACGTTAAGTTCGATTTCTCTGCAACCCGGAAGGCTTTCGGGTAGCGGGTTTTAAAACTCGTAGATTCACTAGTGGACGTTGTCCAAACAACTATTTTTACTGTCCTAACTCAAAAATTTCAAAAATTTTTCTGATTTTTTAGCGCTTTGTACTATCAAAAAATGGGAAAATTTGGTTTTTGGTACCAAACTAGTTCCAACCACTTCCGAACTAAAGTTAACCGGTTCTACTTATTACAGTAGTGCAGTTACGATGTAACACACTAACTTAGCGCTTTTTTCCGTTTCAAAAAATATCGATATCTCAAAAATCGCGACTTGTGGGGGGATCAAAATATCGCAATTTTGACCCTAAAAACCGGTCAGTTTTCGTTGTTTTTGGCTGAAAATCGATATAAGACTATTAATATAGGCTATATAAGTAATAATACTAGGAATACTATACCCCTCCGGGTTTGTTTAATCTCCGAATTAAGGTGCTTAACTCGGATATTCGCAGTTCGGTGAAGGGTCACTACAGTGCAGCACTGTCGAGCCCCCCACAGATTACTATCTTACTTTTTGTACCAAAATGGATAAAAAACTTGTTAACGATACCCAACAGTCGATTGTTGTTGTCGTTGAGCCCCTTCTTGTTGCTCCTTGTACTGCTTGCCGGATCGGTCTTCACCCAAGACCCTTCCGAATTGAGCGCAAATCAGCTGACCCCTCCGGATTGAGCGCAATTTATCATTAACGTGCTTAAATGCTCAAATAACCCTACAGTACAAGCCTCACGAACGGGCCACAAAATTGATCGTAACGATCCTGACTGATATAAATGCCTGTAACAACAGTATATCTATCAACAACAAACGGGGGGGTTGAATCACATCTTGTCTGGGGGGATGATTTCTACTGATTTTTTACTTTTTTACTGTTTTTGGTTTTTTCGGTTATTTTTTATGTTTTTTGTTTTTCTTGGGTACTATACTACTTTTTGTTTGGTTTTGCTTATATCTTTAAGTGTTTTTGGTCACAAACCACTCAGGGGATGAGGGGTTCGCGATTCCCCCCACCCTTCCTGGTTCATGAATTTTCGGTCTTAACTAGGTTAAAAAACTATTCACGGCAATCCGGAAGGCTTCCGCGTTCCGAACTACCCTTCCGCCCCGGCGGTTTAGGCCTATTAAGGGCGTTAATGTGAGCATCCGCTCGGCGCGGAGTGCTTGTTAACGGTTCCGCCGGTCATGATGTTATGAAAGAATAACACCCAGGAGCGCCATAAAAACATACATGTAACATTCGCCCGGAAGATACATATCGACGGATAACAAAACTAAGTCTTAAGACGACTGGCTAGCGCCTAAACAGAGCTTTGCATGTTTTTCACCGTCTCTGCCAAGCCAGTACTTTTCGGTGGTCTTTCTTACATCAGGCTGACAAAAACGTTACTGTTCCCCGGCTTCGACCAGAACGCTCAAATTAACTGAATTACATGCAAAATTAGTGAGCTGATGACTGGGTCTCAGTATCCCCAGACCACGAGGTCACTCCTAAAAGCAGGGCTACTACTTATTATATTACTATTGTTTTTGTTCAGTAGATAAAAATCATCATCTCCATCGAAGATGGATCAACCCTTTCCCCCAACTCCTAGCTCCTCATTCTTGTCAAAACGAATCTAAATATCAGTTAAATTCAAGTCAGGACATGACAGGATGCTAAAATTCAATACAAGTTCATAAAAGTTCCCGTCCCGAGACCCTTCCGGATTCTTGAATCCGGCGAATCAAGCTCCTTAACCTCAGGTTCACGCTAACTCGGAGGGCTGGTTTTTACCCTTCACCGTTGTTCGCAACGGCCTTGCAACTATTGTAACAGCACAATAGTTGCAACTCGGAACGTCCTCTGCTGTTCGGTAGTTCGTTGTCGTTTTTTAGTCTCGATTCTCGTTCTGTTCGCAATCACAGATAAAAGTTGTTCTGTTTCTTTCTGCTATTTTAGCTAAAATGGCCGTTTTAACATTTCTCAGAAATGTTACGTCATCATTTCGAAAATTTAAAATTTAGAATTCCAGAATCTTCTAGCCTTCACCGTTTTCCCAATCGTTCAAATAACGTCCTTATCCGTTCTAAATCGCCAATTCGGAAGGCTTGCTGCTAAAATACCGAATTCTGCAGAGACTGCATTTTGGCCATTCTGGTCGAATGTCACAAAAGTTGTTCTGTTTTTCTTAGTTCTTTTTCTAAAATGGCCGTTTCTGACGTTTCTCAGAAATGTTACGTCATCTCTTCGAAAATTTAAAATTTTAAAATACGGGAATATCCTGACCTTCACCGTTCTGCCAATCATCCGAATAACGTCGTTAATCCTTCGAAATCATCAACTCGGAAGGCTTACTGCTCAAAATTCGAATCCTGCATAAATTGCATTTTGGCCATTCTGGTCGAATGTCACACATCTAATTCATTTTCCGGAATATGAGAAGCTAGGAGTTGATGGAAAGGGTTGATCAATCTCCGATGGATATGATGATTTTTATCTAATGAACAAAAACATTAGTAATATGATAGTAAGTAGTAGCCCTGTTTTTAGGAATGACCTCGTAGTCTGGGGATACTGAAACCCAGCCATGAGCTCACTATTTTTGCATGTAACTTAGGTAATTCGCGCGATCTGGCCGATAGCCTTAAATAGTAAGGACTTTGACGACCCGATGTTAATGGACCAGACATTGAACTGGCTTTGGAAGAGAGGGTTAAAAGCATGTGAAGCTGTGTTTAGACGCTGGCCAGTCGTTTGAGGACCTAGCTTTGTTTTCCGTCGGTATGTACTTCCGGGCGAATGTTACATCAGTCGGTATGCACTTCCGGGCGAATGTTAGTTGCAATCTTATTTTGAACACCCCTCACATACTGCTTGCTTTGTATCGCAATTGATTCGAAGCTCCGCTTCGCGCTTCTGTTCACATGTATTTTCTCACAGCATATATTTTGTTTCGCAATTTTTTTGCTTCTCTAATTTAGCGTGAAATAAGAACCACAACCAGTCCAATTATAGCGATAATCTATTCGAAAGTTAGAGTTCTAAACTTAATCGCTTTCGTCGTTTGCTTGAGTTCTCTTTAGAAGCGTAATATTGGTTTTGCAGATTGAAACAATGCCACAATTAGTTGACAGGTGTGAAGAAATTATCGCCGTGGAGGCAGAAGCTAAGAAACTCAACCTGTTTGATGTGTTCATGAAAAATGATAGACTGAAAACGGATTACTTAACGGGTAAAAGCTCTTAGCAATTTATTCTTTAAAATTGGGAATTATTTAACTTAAGATTCTTGAGCATTGTGAAGAAATACAAATATTTTATTTTCTGATATTTAGATTTTTTTTTACTTTAAGCCAGAATACTGAGAGGAGAGATTTCTGCTTCCGCCAAAATTTTTTCTTGCTTGTCTTTTTCTGTGTTCTGATTGCAGAATTTCATGCTACCTTGTTTGTTGGCGTATTGTAAATTTTTTGCCACGTTACTATTAAATTGAGCACAGCTTGGACTTTTTTTGAATAAAATGTAGTGTTTCTAGGAGATCATATCTGTAATTTGCTTGACTCTGAAGTGGGAGTGAAGCTATCAGAGGAGCAGGCAAAATGCCTGGTTGATCGGTACACTGCTTCAAACGGCTACTTCAACTACAAGGATTTCGCGCAGGCTATCAATACAAGGCTGAATAAAAAAGTGAAGATTGAAGGATCTTCAAGTGCCTAGTAAGTTGAGTAAATGTCAAATTAAACTGAATTAATAAATTGTGTCAAACTCAACTAGTGGACACACCTTTAACAGTTAAAAACTAACTGAGCAAAGGTCTTTAATTAGACTAGTAGAGAAGTAAGACATAATTAATCAAGCCATATATTATTGTTCCGACTTTCGATACGAAAGTAACGGAATATTTGTGCTCGGGGTGGGTTTTTTTTTCTTCAGACAAATTTCGACTTATTAAGTAGCCATTTTTGACGGAATTTTTTTATATCATTCAAAAGGTATTGTTGTTCTGAGCTTAAATTTGGAAAGATATTTCACCTGTGATCATTTTCCGTGAATTTATGGGGTTTTAAAAACTGCCGTTTGGGCCAATTTGGGGCAATTAACGCGCGATAAATTTCGCGCTTGTAACGCGTAAGCGGAGATTTAATCCGCCTCAGAAATCGTTCCAAATTGGTTGAAGGAAGTTTATTTGCCATAATTGATTTGTTACTAGGAGTGAATTTATCTTTTTGTTCTTCATATGGCGTGTGGGTGGATGATTTTCACAAAATTCTCAAATTTAAAAAAAATCCTTTTATTTAAGTTAACATTCAATTTAATCATGTTATTACTGCTCCATAGAACTTGAAAGCAGTGAGAACATTCGGGGTTTGGCCCCGATACGAGCAGTTTTGTATTACAAATAGCTTTTTACTTTCAAGGCATCATGAATCTGTAGCGTAGAGGCAGGGAGGAGACCCGCAACAAAATAAGAGGATCGAAACTGGGCAGGGTCTGATTTTTAATGGACTTTTGACGTGGACCAAAAACTTTCATCGCATTTTGCAAGTCTGTTACTTCTGAGATTGAAGTTTTTGTCCTTGTCGAGTTTCGTTTACGTTCACTTTGATATTTTCTGAAATGTCGAGATCGTATCACCCATTGATCAGTTTGATGAATAGAAGAAGATGGTGTAGTTCTTGTACAAGTGAGTGATAGAATTTTGTACTTCTGCAGCTTCTGATGATAGGTCACCGAGTATCCGTAGATCCGGTGGATAGTTTGTTCTGGTTTCGTCCAACAATTTTTTTTTCTATTTTTTTTCAGGAAGACTGATTGAGCACCGTATGTAGGAAAGGGTACTACTTATCCCAGCTAACAAATCAGTTTACTTTCAGATGTTAAACACGCCGATAAGTTTCTTTGTATAAATAATAGTGACTTCATTGCTTTCGACACGCGTCTTTTTGATTATATGATACCACAATTTGCCGCTGGTGATCTTTCTGGTTTTTGTGACCGCTAACTCGTTGCTCTTTCAGCAGAAGACTCTGATGCCCTTCAAAGTTCATAGCATTACCATTTTTGATGATATGAAATTTGGTATTGATTTGTGTTTTTGGCTGGATATATTTCATTCACAAATTGATGGAATTAAACATCCATTGTAGAGAGTAGCACATTATATTATTAGTGTATGGAATTTGGTCGGAGTTCTGTCCGTCTTCAAAGGAAAAGTCACGGTGTAGTTTTTGTCGACAGAACTTGATTTGACAATTTCTGAGTTATTTGTTAGAAAAACATCCATCATCCATCTGACTCATTTTTAGTATCACCAACGTCTGCTCATATTTTTTTCAATAAAGCAGCTGCAGTATATTTTGTTAGTAATTATAGTCAGGTTCTATCAAGAATTTAAAATAATGTTCACTTGCTCTAATTTATTAGAACAAAAAATCAATTTAGCTCTGATAATTGCATCACATGTTTTGCAATTCCCAGCAAATGATACAGCTGCTATCTGGTCTGTTTCACTCTACAAGGACGTTGTGCGCTGCGTTTTAAAACTCAATTCAAATTTGAAACCACATTATTAAATAAATTTATCACAAAAATTAGGCTCACAACAATCGATGTAAAATAAGAGCGATGAAATTGCGTAGAAACAAGCCTTGGCTGTGATTTAAAGTGTTAAGTTTTCGTTTTCTTGTCAATTGACTCGTCCTGTTCTGTTGATGTCATTATTAGACTGAAAGGTGCTCAAGTTAAAAATGGCATAGCAATAAGTGTGGTTTTTGCGATTCTCAGAGGATCTATGACGTGCTATCCAGGCTGTCTAACCATAGTCCGTTTCTATTTCTATTATCTCACCTCATTACAGACTGAGGTATTGTTGAGTGAAGTTTTTCTTGCGACTAAAGGTAGTTTTTTTGCGTCTAGAACTTTGACGTGGTACGACTATTGCAGCCGAAATTGGCCAGGCTGTGGTAGACCTGAAGCTAGAGGTTACGTGAAAGCTCGTGAATTGCCTTAGCATCTACGATCGCATCAACATTCATGTTGCATAGGATCTCAGAAGCCCAGAAACTTTTATACTATTTCGGTGTTTCGGGAGTAAATGAATTTTTTTTGTATTTACTGTTAGTTGGTTAGAAAAGCAGGATGGATGTTTCTGTAATTTGAAAGCATCAATATGCTTTAAATCAAGCAATGAAAGTTTTTATTGCAGCGTTTTTGAGTGCCATGAGGTTTAAGATGTGCTAAAACCAAAAAATTATATTTGAGTGAGAGTTATGATTGTTTTTTTTTTAATTCGAATTAAGTTAGCTTTATTCTCTAAATGTGCGAACTCAAAGCCAAGATTAATTAATGTGTTTAGCGACCCGGATGTCTCGATTCTGAAGCCACTGTCGGCGGATGCCTCTGCCCATGCTCAGAGCATTCTGGCATTCCTGGCCAATACTTACAAGCAGAGAAAGATTGATGCCAAAAAAGTGTTTGCGGCCTATGACCCGAAAGGGACCGGGCTGGTACCCAAGGATGTGGTAAGTATTTGATGATGGAAAGAAAGAAAAAGATGTTGTTACTTGATATGACCGCATACATTGCTTATCGGGTAATATCTAGAATTGTTCCGACCACACTCACTCACACCACCCCCCCCCCCCCCCCGTGCCGAAAGATGAGAAAGAAGAAAATGGCATACTGTCTATTTTACAGCTGTTATGTCAACCTCCCCAAAAGGCAAAATGCATAAACTATGGAGAACAACTGTTTTTGAATTTGAGTAATCAGTTTATATGCTGAATTTCATTGCAATCGGAATAAAAATTTGGGAAGAAAATTTTCACGAGAACAACTAAAGAGAGCCGAGAACAAATTCATCGTTTGATTACTCACGCTTGGTAGATTTGAGTTTTCCACATTGTAAGTGTAAATAATTAAAGCAATTAAATAACAAGAATAGCTGATTACTGTTGTGCAACTAGCACAGAGTGTTCCGACCATAGTAATAAAAAAAAACTTTTTTGTCAAATTAGTGTAGTTTTTTTTTCTTGAATCGTCTGATAAAATAATATGAACGAAAAACTAAAACTTAAACATATTCGACCGTCATAGTTAAATAGGTTAATTGGACAACAGTTTTTTTTTAAAAAGATTAGAAAAACAAAAACACCGTTCTAATATTTTTTATAAAAAAATCAAAAGTTTTGTTTTTGCAGAATTTTTTTGAAATTTGTGTAGTTTTTTCCCAAATTTTCGCTGAAAAAAATCCGATACAATTTCTACTCGACTAAAACTAAGTTTTCGCGACTTAAAGTAAGCATATGTAAGTTATTTTAAGCCTGCTCACTCGCCTTTATTCGCTCGAAATTAGACCAAACATCAAAAATGACAAACCATTGTCAAATCGAAACTAGTGTCAAATGTCAAATCAAAAAAACCCATTTCGATCATTATTTGTGGTACCTGATTTTGCGTGGAAACAAAAAAGAATAACAACTAAAATACACCCGAATACAAGTTCCTCCCCATTTTTCAAATGGTCGGAACAAAAATTCTGAACTATAAATTGAATTCTTATTCGATTCTAAATAAGTGGAGCGGAAACATAATTAAAACGCCAATTTATATCAATTTATTGTGATGTTTTTGATGGGCAAATGAAGGGTGTGAAGTTTAATTGAACTGTTGGTTTAAAAGCTTTGAAGTAGAAAAATTCATGTCCATTTTGTTGTACTTGATTATCTTGAATGAAACTAGACAAACCAGCATTTATTCGCGAATAAATACACAAATTATACGCGCCAATTTTAATTTGACGGCGGTATCTTAAAAATACCACGGTAAAAAATAGTGCAGAACTGTTGTGTAAGAGCGGAGATCTCAGCTTGTTTGTGAACGTCTTGTTGCTCGGCGAACACATACAAGTCAATGCTTTCTGATACACGTTACATTTACAGTAACACAAATAGCTGAAGTTTTATTGTTTTTATTGTTATAAAACTGTACCATTACTCTATATACTGTTCCCCACAATGGTCTTTGATCGCTCTCGAAGAGCTCAGACAGCCTACACTACCCGAACTTTTTTGGGTCCCGAGAAACCCTTTTATGGGGCACGTCTAGAAACAGTAAGTTTATTTTCTATACCATTTTTAATTAGAACTAGTTTAAACTGTTTAGTTCCTGATGAATATGCCGGAAGAACACAAGATGGAATACGAGAATCTTGATGTGTTGACTAGGAAGTATGCGGATTTGAAAGACTGTAACATGTGCAACTATGTCAGATTCACTAACGACCTAACCACTGTTACTAAGACACTAGACCACAATTGTCTCATCCAAATGCCAATGATTGAGGGCTACACTAACAAAGAGGACAAGGTTGTTCCACTTGTCTCAACTAATATCACACTAATACAGTTGTTTGATCTTTCTTCCGTCAACTTCCAGTTTTCTTTTTTCAGTCCAATACGAAGCAAATCATTTTAGCGACACATGGCATTGTGAATAGTTTTGCATCAAGACTGTAATTGTCGGTCGGATTCGGCAGAGTTTGTTTCAGAGAAATGATTATGATTAGTGGCGGGTTCAGGATTTTCTCGAGGGACGGATTTTTAAAACAATTTCGACTGATTTTGAAAACAATTTTTTTAGGTCGACCAAATTGATTTTCCGAACGCTCTCAGAACACCCTTAAAACGCAGGCGAAGGTTTTTAAATGCCGTTTTCGGGCTCAAAAATGCCGTTTTGGGGCACCAAATTTCAGGTTGGTCGGCCTAAAATGGATGTCATAAAATAATATCAAAGGACCCTTTGGTTGTCGAGGTGGTCGATCCCTGAGAGGAAAGCGTCCCCCTCCCCAAATCTGCCCCTGATCATGTATTTAGGAAATGATATTTTCAGCAAACGAGCAAAAATCAGGATGTTCTTAAACATGGAATATTTTTAATTTTAAAAATCAGAGAGATTTTTTCTTTTATCTTGTAATTGTAGTGACGTTTTTTTTTGTTTTTAAAAAGGATATAATTCTATTCTCCTGTTAATTGTCGATTTAATTTTGTACAGAGAGATGCCTTGTCTGAGGTGTTGACAGTGATCGAGAAGATCCAAGTGCTCTGCTACAAGTTCGGAATCCGATCCATCGAGTTCTTCCGAGACTACGACAAACTGAGACTGGGCTTGTGTCTTGAGGACGAGTTCAGAGCTGGACTGGATCTGTTCACGAGGAAGTTCCTCCACTTGAGTCAGAAACAGCTGAATGATGTGACTAATTTCTACAGAGTGCCGGATGATGGCAGGATATACTACAGAGCATTCACAGATCTTATCGAGAACAGTTAGTATGAACAAGATGTTGCATGAACATCGTAGTTGTAGTTAAATAACATGTTGGGCTTAATCTGAAGCTTCGGTTTAAATTACGGAAGCACTGTTTTTTTTTTTTCATTTATTCTTTGAGGCAGACATTTTTTTGCATTTTTTCTTTTCTTTTGGCGCGGTTTTTAGAACTCTTTTTTGGCGTTTTTTTTTGCTTGTATGTGCTTCCGAAGTGCAACTTCGCCTCTGTGTAAAAATAACGATTTGAGAGAAATGGTCGCGTGAATACTGTTAGGTTTTTACACGGATTATTTCAGCTCTTGCTTCCTTTCTTACGTTTCAAATTTTTAAGTATTGAGTAGTTAGGTTGTTCGTAAATAGAATATTACTGTGTTACTTTTTGAGAACAAGGAACAAGGTTTTTGAGAAGATTTCTCTGCGAGTTTCATTTTTCTGTGTTGTCTGTTTAGCATTCAACATTCCTAATTTGGAGAAGCAGCCCTTGGCCGAAGTGCAGAGACCATTGCAAGGAATCCTGCAGAGGGTAAGTTATCATTACCGCTCTTCAGTATCTTGGGTTTGTTTTTGGTGTGAACCTGTATCGATCATTCAAACCCTTTGACAATTTCTTGAATAAATTTCAGTCTGACTCTGCCTCCCTCGTTTCGAGTTGTGCTTCCTCTCGGCCTAGCTCAGCTGAGAGCGATGTTTACGGAAGGGTAACAGAAAGCAAGAATCATTTCATGACCCCTTCTCTCTTCATTAATTCCCTATTAATACCACATTACCAACTATACTAGGGGGGGACAAGGGAGGAAACGTTGGAAATACTGTATTAAAGTAGAAAAGTAAGCGTAGAATCATTTCGACCAACCCATCATGACCCGATAGTTTTTCCATTTATATCGAAGACGTTTTCAAGTGACCATGAACAAAACGAAGATATTTTTAGGTCGTCGGGTTTTCCGTGGAAAATTGCGCTTTGCAACTGCGAAAAAAAACGTGAATGGATTTCAATTTTAAAAAGAGGATTTTTGAGAATTCCCAGCGAAATAAAACATTATCTATCTGTTGGTTCAGTTTTCTCAGATAAGTTTTTCTAATGAGAAAAGTTTCAATCAAAAGATTCCTAAAATTTGTGATGCTCCAAAGAATTTGTGATGAACAATTCCAACTGTCTGTTGGTTGTATTTTAGCAGTAATTTTTGGTCCAGCGTCTAATAACTAATTGTTGTTTTACAGACTCTGAACCCGTTAGAAGACGTGGACGAGGGAAGACTGCAGCAGATCATGTCTGAGTTGGCCAACCGAGTGAGAGATAGGCGACTCAATGTCTTCCCCTTCTTCAAGGACTTCGATAGGGTAACCCAATATTTAATTACCCCAAGGGGTAATAAGCGTTATTTCGCGCACTTTTATGGACATTATCGGGGAAAAAGTTCTCGGCAGACTTTTCTAGAAAGTGCTTGAATTAACGGGTGGAAGAGCTATTCATCTCATGCTATTTAGTGTCAATGAACGTATCAAAAACAGTTATTTAAGTCATGCTCATTTTTAAAAAAAATCAAGAAAAAATGTTCATGGTTTCTTTTTTAGTTCATTTTTCAATTAGTTGGCTAATAAGCAAATCTCCCTCTCCAATTAAGAAAGTGCAAATGGCGCGAAAAAATTTGAGAAACTAATAATATGTTTTTTTTTTGTGAAATTCGAATTTGAAAATTATTCAAAAATATGTCAATCCTTTTTGTAGGTTTCTAAGAGTAGTGAACGTCTCGCTGATTTTGTATGTTTTTTTTCAGGAAAAAGTCTACAATTTGTTCACGCTCAATTTTGACTTTTCGCGGTTTGACTTTAGGTTTAGTGCATTTATATTGTTAAAAGGAAGGCAAACTCCACTATCGAACAGCAAAAGTGTAAAGGTCACGAAAAACGTGATCGACTTCTAATTTCGAAACTGGAATTTAATTATCAGATTTCCCAGCGAAATAAAAGTTTTACCTATCGATGCAGTTTTCTCAAATTGGGTTAATTTTAACAAAAAAGTGTCTGCCATAAATTGTTCTGCAATTTCAAAGAGCTTCAAGGCCTTTTTTTCATTCGAAGTTCAAAAGTTGAAGATTTTTGATTAAAAAAACAAGTCGGTTTTTTTTCAGTTTCCTTGCGTTCATTACTCTTTTCCAACTGTTAGTTGTCTATGTTCTTTAGTTTATTGACATTTTTCTTACACCAACGGTATGTTGGCAATGTTATTGTGTCTTGCATCTCCAATTGATCATGTATCCTTTATATCAGAAGTATCAATTTCAAAAAAAATAAGACCATCCAATTTCTGTAAATCGTGTCTGATGATTGTAGACTCTCTATGCTGGCTGTGTGTTTCAGGGCAAGTGTTACAGTGGTAATGTGACTAAGAACCAGTTTGCGCGTATCCTGGCCATCCTAGGCATGACTGTGCAGCCGGAGGACTTCCGCATCCTCTGCAAGAAGTTCGAGGAGCAACACAAGGGAGACATCAACTACCCCGCATTTGTACAGGCCATAGACTACTGTGAGTCTATTTTAGATTGCCATCTACACAAACTAAACCTTTCATTCGGAGCCTCTTAATCTTGCTTATCACTGGGCTAATTAATGACCAGCAAATACTGAAACAGTCATTTATCTTGCAACTTTGACTGAATGGGTGAGCGCAAAAATCTGCAAACTGATTCAGGATTTACGCTCGTGTAACCTAAGCTTTTTCAGATTCACAACTTTGGCAACTGAGTCAGTTGATTGCGTGATATATAACCAGTTCGAAGTAATTGTCATGCAAATTTTCTCATCAGTATGTTGTATCGCAACTGGTCGCTCAGCTTCACTTTTGTCAAAAAGTGAATTTTCTATTATGTTTGATATACGGGGCTTACTGTAGATCTGAAATGTTGTCTTTGTTCAGGGTTCACGGCGTTCAAGACGGAAGTGCCGAAGCCAACTACGCATGTTGAAGAGCCAATGTGGCACGAGTTGCCTCTGGACACGAGTAATGTAAACTTGAGAGAGATCATCGGTCGAATTAAGGAGCACTGCATGGTCAACAGGATCAGGGTAAGTACCCTTCGACAGAGTCACCCACGCTAAAAAAATCTTGCTGTAAGTGTCGATCATACACTACTTAGTGTGTCTACTAATAAAGTTCCTGTAATTCCGAACATAGAACCCATCTTCGTTAAATTTAACGCTTTGAGTTTTGAGCTTGTCATTTGAACTTGGTGTGTTTATCATCTTTTACTTTGAGAGCATATTTAAATTATTAATTCGGGTTTTGACTGAAAGCAAAGTTGAAGAGTTACACAAAACAAGTCATTAGCTATAAGCAATAGAAATCAATTTATGAATCACGTCGAATCAATTTAGATCAGCGAGGGTTTCAAGGACTTCGACAACCTGCGAGAGTACTCTGTCACTAACAGTCAATTCAGACGCGGCCTTATGACGTCTAGGGTGGCACTGACGAATGCGGATGCAGAAGTGTTGTGCAGTCAGTTCGCAGACCCAAAGAGAAATGGAAGAACTATGTGGAAGGCGTTCTGCGATGAAATCGACCAAGGTCAGTTCCCATTGTTATCGGCTTATCAAAAGCTAATTTTTCGGCAAAATTTTCAGACCGCCATCGTAAAAATTCAGCCAGCCAATCGTGAAAGAGTTCGCTTACCTTATTTTAGATGTGAAATGCTTCGTCAACTCTACCCATTCCTTTTTGTTAGCTGATAATGAGTAAAATGTTATATTCAATAAATATGTTAGGAGCTATTGTATTAATGATAATATCTTTTGCAGGAATCAATATCTTTTTTTTACAAGTTGAAAATATATACCAGAATGTTAAAATAAATATATTCCTCAACTAAGTTTTCAGAAGTTCTCTTGTTTCAGTATTCACGCAAGTGATTCCTAACATGGAGCGCACCCCTCTAAACTTCCCCGCTCCAGCTGAGTCGTTCCGGATGCCACACAAGGGAGGCATGGACTGGACCTCGGCCACTGTGGACCACCAGCAGATGGTGAACAACTGCATAGAGAGGTTCAAGGCATACATCAGCGGGAGGAGACTCCTAGTCAAACCCACATTCGAGAAATTCGACAAGTGAGCATCGTTCAAGTTTCTCTAACCAGTTCTAATTTGAGTCTTCGTGAATTTCAAAAAAGCGGAAACGGTGTTGTATGCTTTCTTACTTGTCCTTTGAGGTTGCTTTCGGGTGGAATTTATAGCTGAAATTTGCCTTCTTTTCAACCACGGCGTTGATAGATAGCATCTTGTGCTCTCAATTCGATTTGAATAAACATGTTAAATTTATAAAATGTGAGCATTGTTTTTGAAACATTCTCCCTGTTTTCCAGGCTGAACCATCGCTATGTGAGCAGATATCAGTTCAAGCAGTGTCTGGCGATGCTGGATCTAGCATGTACAGACGAGGAGATGGGCGCACTGGAGGCAAAGTTCTCAGACGAAAAGGGATTCAACTACTTCCGGTGAGAGCAGTGGCGTGCGCAGAAATTTTTCTAACTTTTTTCGGAAAATTTTGACCAAAAAATTGCATTTTTTCGGCGCGCGCTCCCCCTCACTATTAGTTTTTATTAGTGCCAAACGCGACTTTAGAAAAATTTTGATGTTGATCAGCCAAAAATGGATGTCGTTAAGTTATACCAAAGGGCGGACCCTTCGGAAAAATTTGGCAACCAGAATTTAGAGAGGATGGTCGTTGGTTTACTTTTTTAGAACGGTCGTATTCATAGATTCTCTGGCTTACGAATAAAAACCGACATTGATGCAATATAAAACAGAATTATGCGCCTGTAGGTTCCTGCAGGAGTTGGAGCCTCCAGAGGAGTTGGATAACAAGTACCTGGAGAGGATGGATGAGTTGAAGTTGGTCAACACTATGAGGGAGAAGATGGAATTAGAATACGAGGCCAACTTCGACCGAATCATGACCAGACTTAAGACTTATGTGAGTGTACCATAATTCATTCTTATTACCCTTGCGATAAGCTAGGGTATTGCAATCGGGTACTAGACTTTTTTGCCGTAAACAACTTTGTCCACAAGATCTGCACTTCTAGAGGATCTTCTTTTCTAGAGGAAGATACCTTAGTAGTATCTTTCTCTAGAAGATACTTAAGTAGTAATTAGTTGAAACCCGTTGCAGGTTTTCTCTAGAAGATAATTAAGTAGTAATGAGTTTAAACCCGTTTCAGGTAGTAATTACATTTTAAAAAGTTCGTTCAAGTTTCTGTCGTTTCTGTTTCCGTTTATTTAAACGCCATTTTTTATCTGGTTAGGTTTTTACATGTTTATTTTTTAAAGCATGAGTTTTGTTCCAACTGAAACAGTTCATAATTAAACTGGAACTTTAATTTGTAAATCTTTTAATTTATAAATCTGTAAATCACAAATTTGTAAATTTATCATGTCTGATTTCGAGTTTTATGTTCTTTTTTCAAATACTATTTGAACAGTTTTAGTTTATGTTGTGTCGACTTAGTTAAGCTATTTTGCGTAATTTTGAGAGCAAATTATATCCGTTTGGGATTATGTGTTTCAGTTCGGATGGGTCGTAAAAACTTCTAAATTGTATGAGATTTTTTATGACAAGTTGTATTTTCGGCTCAACGGGTTTCGCCCCAAAGTGTCTCCTTTGTTACCGCTCGGTAAATGATTTCCATGAATTAAGGCCTGTTTATGAACCTAATCCGATACAAATATGAAGTTTTTTAGTTGTAATTTTTCAACTTTTGTCAAGTTATTTTCCAACACAATTTATCCGAAATATTTTTCACTTGTTTTTTTCTTTTCATTCACTATGTTGTAGCGCAATATATTTTTGTGCATCGCAAGTGTTGCGAAGCTCAGCTTCGCCTCTGCGTTACACTTGAGATCAGCGTAGAGTATTACCACGAACCTGCTTTTTTTAAACCTAACTTGCAAATAAAAGTGTTCACTTATTTGGTGGCACTTTTGCTATGATCACGATCTGTAGCATGGAATTTTTTTTAGCATTTGTGCTCTGCTGTATTTGTGGCTAGTGTCTCTGACTAATGAAGCGCCCGTGGCTCGGTGGTTAGTGCGTGAGACTCAGTGTCTCTAGGTCGCGGTCTGTTGGAGATCGAATCCGAAACGTAGCCTAATATTCAATTATTCGAGGCTTATTTCTACTTTTTGTTATTGGACCTGATAGAGCTGCTTTTTGTTGTGTTCTCTATAGCGTTTGCGAAGCAGAGCTTTGCCTCTGTGTTCCACTTCTGAGTAAACCTACATTGAAGACGACTAAAAAGTAAATATCAATGAAATATTTGCATGAAAGGTAAACATTCACTTTTGATTCCTTAGTATCTAAAACCTGGTTCTTTTTACACTTGCGAAGCAAAGCGTATTAGTACGAATTTTCTGTTTTTCTAATCTAAGTGGCAAATATTGGTGTTACTTTTGGGGCACGTTGACAGCTTATTGATATCACATGCTTTGACATACGAAAAGTAATAAGTTTACACAGTTGATGCATTTTTAATTCATCAATGAACTGAAAAAAGTTATTTGTTTCAAATATTAAAACAATAATTGAATCTCGGTTTCAGAAGTTTTCCAACTGAATTTATCTCGCAATTTGTTGAAGTGCATAATATATACATAATGTGGCTTTATGCTTTGCAATTTATTATATGCAAAATTATGTCTTTTGGTATTTGGTGCTACTTTTGCAGCATCGAATTGGCAGTTTGTTAGCATATGTAGCTGCGTTATTGATAGCTAGTTTTTGGGGATTTTAAGCATCGTGGCTGAGTGGTTAATGCGTGAGACTCAAATTTGCTAGGTCACAGATTCGAATCCGACGCGTAGACGAGTTTTCGTTAATTCGAGGCTTATTTCTTATTTCGCTTGATAGAACTGCTGTTTGGTCGTGTCATCGCAAGTGTCTGCGAAGCACAGCTTCGCTTCTGTGTTTAGCTTGCGATAAGCAAGGGTATTGCTAATGGGTACTAGACTTTTTTCTCGTAAATAACTTTGTTACCAGAATGTTTCATTTAATATTGTACCATTTCGAAGCTCCTTTCAATGTGCCTACCACCTATGTGCTACTTATTTAGGGATAATAGTTGATTTTTAAGTGGTCCATGCAAGTCATGTGATTGTTTTTTTTTTCGAAAAAGTTCAGGATTATTTTCAGTGATTTGGGTGTCGTCCTTAATTCTGTCGGCTTCTTTACCTAATGTTTTTTTCTATTGGCCTTATTTACATTAGCGAGGTTGCAAGCATTAGTGTATTCATACGAACCTTGTTGTTTTTCTAGCCTAACTCGCAAATAAAAGCGTTCGTTATTTGGTGGCAAAATGTTCCTAATCACGATGTATAACATTGGAAATTTCATAACATCTCTTCTCTGCTTTATTTGAGGCTAGTGTTTGTGATTAATTAAGCGTCCACGACTGAGTGGTTAGTGCATGAGACACATATTTTCTTGGTCGACGTAGGTTGAAGATGAATCTGAGGCCTAGCCGAATTTTTATAATTTGAGGCTTATTTCTACTTGTTTTTTTATTGCTCTTGATAGAGCTGATTTTTGTTATGTTCTCGCTAGTGTTTGCAAAGCGCAGTTTCGTCTCTGTGAATCAACTTCTCCGCCTCTTTTAAAAGTTAAAAAATGTAAAATTTTCATTTTTTTTCACGAAATAATTTTTTTATTATTATTATTCATTTTCACGGAGGTAGGTATGTTCAAATTTTCACTCGCTTTTGTCTGAGTGGCTTACTGTGTATTTCAATTTTTTTTGATGAAGATAATTAAGCTTGCGTTATGCAAGCATTGTCAAATCGGACTGTAGATTTTTTTTTTGGGTTAGCAACTAGTATAGCAGAATCGCTTGAATAGTTTTACCTTTGGTTCATATGAAATCAAAACTAAAACCCTAATTCACGTGTAAAGACAAAAGTCAATGCTTTTAATCCGACTAAGTTTTTCATTTGTTTAGCTATTGGAAAATTTTCCTGGAAAAACTTTGACTGACTTATGTTGGTCTGCTTGTTTGTCGGCATTTTTGCCTTGACTCCAATTTTGCTTAAATTTCAGGATTTTTTTACTTAAATTAAAAATTGTTTCGGTCTATTCCGGTTTTGAGGAAGTAATTGAGGTCAAAGAAGTTTTGACGGTTTTTTTATGTTAATAACTTGTGGAAGTTTTTTTTAACATAATTTCAATGAGTGTTCTGCATTTGGGGCAGAAGTAATGACTTTTAATGAGACGACAAATCCCGGAAGTTCGATTCCAGTCGAGACCTGTTTTTTGTGAAAATTGAAAACTTTTCTACTATTTTAGACTTGCTTATTTTCGTGGTTGCTTATTTTTGTTCTTTTAGGTCCCACAGAAAGGTTCGCTTTCTTTTAAGCATTTTGAAAGCCCTTTACCGTTGCGATAATCAAGGGTATTGCAATCGGGTACCAGACTTTTCACCCGGAAATAACTTTATTCGCAGGATTTTGAACTTGAATTTTGGTCATCTCTACTTTCGTCAACGAACAGAAAGATGGAGAACAAACAATTTTTGAGCATGTCTGCATTTTAAATGACCAATCTGTCTGAATTTTTTTGAAAGTTGGTTGCTGATTTGCAAACCGCGATATCTGCATATGTTTTCGTTTTTGTTTGTCTTTATTTGGCTTAAAAGGTGTCGAATTTTAATCTATCGGCTTAGAAGCCTCTTTTGAGAGTTTTACCCCTGTGATAATCAAGGGTAGTGCAATCGGGTACTGGACTTGTTACTCGTCAACAACTTTATTCGCAGGATTACTTAAATTTTGGTCATCTTTACTTTCGTCAACGAACAGAAAGATGGAGAACAGACGATTTTTGAGCATGTCTGCATTTTAAATGACCGTTGTTCGAATTTTTTTTATTTAAAGCTGGTTGCTGATTTACAAACCGCGATTTCCTTATATCGTTTTTTGTTGTTTTCGTTTCTCCTTGTTCGGCTTAAAAGGTGTCGGCAAATCATAAATTGTTCTAGAAGTTCAAAGAACTTAAAGGGAATCTATTTTTTCTTTGAAATTCGAATGTTGATATTTTTTCAAGAAGGTCACTGTTTTTTTATGTTTACTTGCGTTCATTACTCTTTTCCAATCTTCGTTTGGCTGTTTTTTTGCCTGTGAAAATGGATTTTAGTTTATCACAGGACTTTTTTTTAACTTCACGATTTGAGATGATTCAATGTTGCATTTCAGTGTTTCATCACTGTCTGTGTTGTGATACTTTGTAAGAGACCTAATAATATGTGAAATTGCTTCTTTTGCAGCTGATGAAGAAGCCAGTGCGAGTCGTGGAGTTCATGAAGGACTTCGACAGGTTCAACAACAACACTATATCCAAGGACAACTTCATCCGGGCCATGGACATCTGTGGGTTCCAGCTGGAAGAACCAGAGAAGGAGATTATCTACAACCAGTTAGTGAAATTACGGGAGACGTTTCTTGTCAAAACGCTTGCAAAAGTAGTAGTAAGAACCTGAAGCTGCCTTTTAGTATGACTAGGTTATGTTTAGCTGTTTTTTACACAGAACGCCCACTAGGTTTTTTTTTTTTAAATCAACCACGTCCGGAAACGAGCAGAAAATGAGTCGAATGTTTAGATGAAGAGTGTTATCGGTCCATATCTACGCGTTCCGTGTCCTTTTTTTATTTCACCTGTTTTTTTGTAGCTACCAAGCGGCCTCTCAGCCGGGCAAAGTGGTATACAGGAGATTCTGTGATGACTTGGAGGCAGTGTTCACCACCCACGAGATGGAGAAGAGACCGCACTTCAAGCCAGAACAGTGGCACCCACAGCCGGCCCACTTGATCAATGAACTCACTCCAGAGGCCATGATTGAGTACAATAACTGCATGATGAGACTGGCCAACAGGGTTAGTTAGTCGCATACCTCATTGCTAGGGTTTTAATAAGATCTCGGTTTGGTTTTTTATTGAATTATTACGTCATTGAAGCTTTTTTAGCTTAATTAAATAATATATGGCTTGATTAATTATGTCTTGCTTCTCTACTAGTCTAATTAAAGACATTCGTTCAGTTAGTTTTTAACTGTTAAAGGTGTGTCCACTAGTTGAGTTTAATCACTTGGACGGTTTTATAACTATGACGAGGTTTGCTATTATAATTGTTGGTATCAATTTTTCAAAACGGTAACATTTTAGTTGGATTTTTCGTTATGATAAAGTTTAACAACGCTGAAATATTTAAACTAGAAAAAATGATAATTAGGTTCTGCCGACAAGGATGCAGCTGTTCCCGCCCTTCCGTGACTTCGACAGGAACAACAAGGGCACGGTGACACGTGAACAGTTCAAGCGAGTGCTGAACGAACAACTCAATCTGGGACCCCAAATGACGGAGAGGGACTACAGCATCCTGTTCAACAAGTTCTGCAACCGGTCGGGAGGAGTGGGCATGCCTCTCGTGGACTACGTGCCCTTCTGTCACGAAGTGTACAAGTTAGCCCACATTGACTACCAGGCACCATAGACGACTGCAAAGCATCGCAGCAACAAAAAGAAGAGAACATTGATGCACTAAAATACAATGAGAGGAGAAAATGGTGAGAAACGAAGTCAACTAACTGGCCAAGCGTAGATGTCTAATAGTCTTATCATATGAAAAGCTGCTTTAAAACGCAAATTTAGTTTGTATATTGTTCAAATTAGATTTCAAATCTCTTAAAACGTTGGCGTCCCTTTAATTTATTCCTATCGAAGCACAATTAAATTTTGTATTATAACAATTTTGAATTGGTTTGACGCATTTGGACACCAGTGTTTTATGAAAATTGTTCGAGTTGTATCATAGTAAATGTGTAAAAAATGTATATTTTGATATAAACTAAAATTGCTCTATGTAAAGTAAAATGCGAGCTCACTGCAATACTAGCTGCTAGGTCAAAGACCAAATAGTTTATAGAATCATATCGGGACCCTAACTACTCTTTCAAGGCGTATTTAGTGGAAAGCGCTTAAATGTTTTTAAAATGATCTTATATTGTCTCTTTGAGATAATATATCTATCGCTGAGAAGATCCAATGTGTTTAACATGACCAAAGTTTTTTCCTAGTTCAGAAGCAACAAATGCGATTTTGTTATATTGAAAGCAAAAATTAATTTGACATATCTATTTAAATACGCTCTGCTATTGAAAAATGTGCCGTTTTTTATGGGTCCATATCATTATTTTAGAGCATATGGTTATGAATTCATTTAAAAAAAAATGCTTCGCTTAAATTTTAAACTTGATAGAAAATTGCTTCTGTTCTCGCCCTAGTTTCTGAGCTGCGTTTGAGCCAAATAAGCTTGTACCATGTCTTATGCCATAATTATATTTCATCTGTACTAATAAATAGGTTGAACCACGCATAATTTTGAAATGCCCGTGCAACAAAAATAAATTATTTTCTTCCGATTTTTTTAAAAAAAGACCGATAAGTAACGTTTTTTTTTCTTAAAAACAACTTAAAAAATAGCTGTTTGAAATACAGTGTGAAATTTGAGTCGATGAACGTCGTGAAAATTATTATAGCTGGTGTGCTGATTTTTTTTGTTAAGAGTCGATGAACGTAGTTCAGACTTTTATAGAGGCGTGATGGTTATGGAAAAATCATAAAATTTGTGCAGTCTGAAATTTAGGTTTTTTTGCGGTTTTACTTTGATTTTTTAAGTTCAGTTAATTCATTTTGGTAAAAAGGAAAGCAGACTCCTTAATCGAACAGCGAAAGTGTAAAGGTATAAAAAACGTGATCGGTTTCGAACTTCAACAATGGAATTTACCTGTCAGATTTCCGAGCGATATAAAAAAAATTACTTGAAAGTTTTCTCAAATAGGGTTGTTATATTAAAAAAGTGTCAATAATGAACAAAGATATTTAAGGCGATCTATTTCTTTGAAACTCAAAAGTTGAGATTTCAAAAAACAAGTCAATTTTTCCCGTTTACTTGCGTTCTTTGACTCTTTTCTAACTGTCTATTGGCAGTTTTTTTTTTCAGAAAAAATAATTGAAGTGAATTTAAGCTTAAGCGAATAGGTATTGAAGGTTCGAGATTTGATTTTTTTATGTCCAGTAAATTTATTTTGTCATAGAGCTGTAAAACCAAAAATTTTTAACTTTGAAATTCAAAAGTGGAAGTTTTCAAAAATAGAGGTTTTTGTTACCTCACTTTCATTGAGTCTTTTCCAACTGTCTATTGGCTATGTTTATTTATAAGAGTTATTGATTGGTGTAAAGTTTCATTTTTGGTTCATGTGCTTTTTATGAACGAAGTGAAAACTCTAAGTATTTTTTCTCGAAAACAACTTGCGAAATAACTGTTTGAATTAACGTTTTGAAATTTTTGAGAGTCGAACATAATAAAGATTCTGATAAAGGCTTTGCTGATTTTTTGTTTTCATGAAATTTTCAGTTCATTTACTGAGCCATAGAACATTGAGACTGTTTTCTTTCAATCGTTGACTCTATTCTAACTGTTTGTTCGCTGTGTTTAATGTCCAGAAACGAGCAGAAAATGAGTCGAATGTTTAGATGAAGAGTGTTATCGGTCCATATCTACGCGTTCCGTGTCCTTTTTTTCCACCTGTTTTGTTTGTAGCTACCAAGCGGCCTCTCAGCCGGGCAAAGTGGTATACAGGAGATTCTGTGATGACTTGGAGGCAGTGTTCACCACCCACGAGATGGAGAAGAGACCGCACTTCAAGCCAGAACAGTTGCACCCACAGCCGGCCCACTTGATCAATGAACTCACTCCAGAGGCCATGATTGAGTACAATAACTGCATGATGAGACTGGCCAACAGGGTTAGTTAGTCGCACATCTCATTGCTAGGGTTTTAATACGGTCTCGGTTTGGTTTTTTATTGAACTATTACGTCATTGAAGCTTTTTTAGCTTAATTAAATAATATATGGCTTGATTAATTATGTCTTGCTTCTCTACTAGTCTAATTAAAGACATTCGCTCAGTTAGTTTTTAACTGTTAAAGGTGTGTCAACTAGTTGAGTTTAATCACTTGGACGGTTTTATAACTATAACGAGGTTTGCTATTATAATTGTTGGTATCAATTGCTCAAAACGGTAACATTTTAGTTGGATTTTTCGTTATGATAAAGTTTAACTACGCTGAAATATTTAAACTAGAAAAAATGATATTTAGGTTCTGCCGACAAAGATGCAGCTGTTCCTGCCCTTCTGTGATTTCGACAGGAACAACAAGGGCACGGTGACACGTGAACAGTTCAAGCGAGTGCTGAACGAACAACTCAATCTGGGACCCCAAATGACAGCGAGGGACTACAGTATCCTGTTCAACTAGTTCTGCAACCGGTCGGGAGGAGTGGGCATGCCTCTCGTGGACTATGTGCCCTTCTGTCACGAAGTGTACAAGTTAGCCCACATTGACTACCAGGCACCATTGACGACTGCAAAGCATCGTATCAACAAAATAAGAGAACATTGATGCACTAAAATCCAATGAGAGAAAAAAATGTCGAGAAAAAAAGTCAACTAACTGGCCAAGCGTAGATGCCTAATAGTCTTATCATATGAAAAGCTGCTTTAAAACGCAAATTTAGTTTGTATATTGTTCAAATTAGATTTCAAATCTCTGAAAACGTTGGCGTCCCTATCGAAGCACAATTGAATTTTGTATTATAACAATTTTGAATAGGTTTGACGCATTTGGACACCAGTGTTTTATGAAAATTGTTCGAGTTGTATCATAGTAAATGTGTAAAAAATGTATATTTTGATATAAACTAAAATTGCTCTATGTAAAGTAAAATGCGAGCTCACTGCAATACTAGCTGCTAGGTCAAAGACCAAACAGTTTATAGAATCATATCGGGACCCTAACTACTCTTTCAAGGCGTATTTAGTGGAAAGCGCCAAAATGTTTTTCAAATGATCTTATATTGTCTCTCTGAGATAATATATCTATCGCTGAGAAGATCCAATGTGTTTAACATGACCAAATTTTTTTCCTAGTTCAGAAGCAACAAATGCGATTTTGTTATATTGAAAGCAAAAATTAATTTGACATATCTATTTATATACGCTCTGCTATTGAAAAATGTGCCGTTTTTTATGGGTCCATATCATTATTTTAGAGCATATGGTTATGAATTCATTTCAAAAAAAATGCTTCGCTTAAATTTTAAACTTGATGGAAAAATGCTTCTGTTCTCGCCCTAGTTTCTGAGCTGCGTTTGAGCCAAATAAGCTTGTACCATGTCTTATGCCATAATTATATTTCATCTGTACGATTAAGTAGGTTGAACCACGCATAATTTTGAAATGCCCGTGCAACAAAAATAAATTTTCTTCCGATTTTTTTTTAAAAAAGACCGATAAGTAAAGTTTTTTTTTCTTAAAAACAACTTGAAAAATAGCTGTTTGAAATACAGTGTGAAATTTGAGTCGATGAACGTCGTGAAAATTATTATAGCTAGTGTGCTGATTGTTTTTGTTAAGAGTCGATGAACGTAGTTCAGACTTTTATAGAGGCGTGATGGTTATGGAAAAATCATAAAATTTGTGCAGTCTGAAATTTAGGTTTTTTTGCGGTTTTACTTTGATTTTTTAAGTTCAGTTAATTCATTTTGGTAAAAAGGAAAGCAGACTCCTTAATCGAACAGCGAAAGTGTAAAGGTATAAAAAACGTGATCGGTTTCGAACTTCAACAATGGAATTTACCTCTCAGATTTCCGAGCGATATAAAAAAAATTACTTGATAGTTTTCTCAAATAGGGTTGTTATATTAAAAGAGTGTCAATAATGAACAAAGATATTTAAGGCGATCTATTTCTTTGAAACTCAAAAGTTGAGATTTCAAAAAACAAGTCAATTTTTCCCGTTTACTTCCGTTCTTTGACTCTTTTCTAACTGTCTATTGGCAGTTTTTTTTTCAGAAAAAATAATTGAAGTGAATTTAAGCTCAAGCGAATAGGTATTGAAGGTTCGAGATTTGATTTTTTATGTCCAGTAAATTTGTTTTGTCATAGAGCTGTAAAACCAAAAATTTTTAACTTTGAAATTCAAAAGTGGAAGTTTTCAAAAATAGAGGTTTTTGTTACCTCACTTTCATTGAGTCTTTTCCAACTGTCTATTGGCTATGTTTATTTATAAGAGTTATTGATTGGTGTAAAGTTTCATTTTTGGTTCATGTGCTTTTTATGAACGAAGTGAAAACTCAAAGTATTTTTTCTCGAAAACAACTTGCGAAATAACTGTTTGAATTAACGTTTTGAAATTTTTGAGAGTCGAACATAATAAAGATTCTGATAAAGGCTTTGCTGATTTTTTGTTTTCATGAAATTTTCAGTTCATTTACTAAGCCATAGAACATTGAGACTGTTTTCTTTCAATCATTGACTCTATTCTAACTGTTTGTTGGCTGTGTTTAATTTCTAGGAGTTAGTGAACGGAGTATATTTTCACTTATTTAGTTTGTGTGCTTTTGAAAGATTCAGTGAACGAACTGAAAACAACCTTTTTGGCTGCTTGAAGTTTTAATTCTTTTTGAGTTGATTTCAAATACATTGCTAAATGTAAAGCAAATATTGATCTCCAAATACAAAAGTGCAAATGGCGCAAACAAAACATTAATGATTTGATGTTTCAAAAATTGAATTTTAATTTCAAAAATTTTAGTGCTCTTTCTTTTGTAATTTGGTTAGTTTGCAACGAAAAACAGTTTCAATCATGGAAGATTGCTGAATTTGTAATAATTTTGAATTTATATTTGGAAATTTAGAATGATCTAAAAACTTACCAAGTTTTGATTTCCTTCAATTTATTGACATTTTCCACTTTGTTGACTGTTTTCGCATCCAAGTTTTTTTGCAGATGAATTGCGCTTTAGCTTCACAAAAGTGTTATTTGGCACAATAAAAATGAAAACTTTGAGTCTTAATTATAGACTGTAAATATTTTTTTACAAATTAAACAACCAATTGATGAAGCCTTACAAAGGTTCCAATTTATGTCTGCTATAGTTTTTTATACAAAGTTTTGCGTGTTATCAAGAATGGTTCATAGAGGTCCTGAAAATTCAAAATTATATCGGTTAGCGAAACTGATAAGTTGTCGAAATATATGCATTATAGGTTATCGAAATTCTTAAAATTTCTAGACATTATATTTGGTGATTAAATTGGCAGAAACTTGGTTTTGTTATTTCATTAACTGAATTTCTACTTAAAGGTAATTATTTGTTTGATATAGCCTCTAAACCGTTATTACATGCAATTAACAAAACTACTGTGGCCAGGTAAATTCTACATGAAAAAGTATGTAAAATTGTCTGCGTTTAGATTAGTTTTAAATTGAAATTTTTAAATTTCACTTGCGAGAGCAAGTGTGTAATCGGGAGCCTGACATACGTTTTTCGCATTAACAATTTTCCTTACATTTTCTGCTAATCAATTGTTGCAACTCATCTATGTTCAATTTTCTGAAAGTTGAAAAGTAACTACTTCTCAGTTCATTTAGCGTGATATTTAATTTTTCAATCATACTTTTCGGATTTTTGATTTTTGTCCAAATTTTTGCCGGCTGATTGCACGTTTTTTTTTTCAAATTAAATTTATAATATTTTTTGTTTGCTGTATGCTTTTTAATCATATTGTTCTCAAAGTGTAGGTTTGTTATTAGCCATTCCAACATTTTGTTCCAGTTTGGAAAAAACTTGTATTATGAAATTGTTTGAGATTTGGTGTTTATTTTTTCATTTTGTTGGAGACTGGTTGGAGGGTGACACCAATGGAAAGACCACTCACTTCCACTGTGCGCCTGCATAAACGCCTAATCTCTTTTTAACGAAACCTACTATCTACAGCCACCCAAAAAGTCTGATGGATGGGTTAGTTTTTGACCTAAGGTTTTGATTTTTTTTGCCAAAAAAATGTTCTCTCAAATCTGAGATTTTGGGTTAAATTATAAAAACAGGTGTTGGAATATTTTACTGCTTGAGCGATTACGACTCAATTTAAAAAAATTTTGGTCCTCAGAAAATCAAGTTTCTGATTTTTGGACCAATTTTTTAACTTTTCATTTCTTTTTTATTAGCGGACACTTTTTTTCCACAAAAATATTTTGGCCCTCGGAAAAGTCGAAATTTGGGTCTTTTGAACGTTTTTTGAAACGTTCGACTTTTCTCAAAAAATACGCTCCCAATTCTAGGATTATAGTGTCATTGGCAAAAATTCTTCTACATAAGCCACCACGCGAAAAACGTTGGCACAAAAATTTACGAACCTCCAAATGATCAAATTTTTGATTTTGACCGTTTTCAAAGCTTTATTGAAGACTCTTTTTCCAAATTTGAGTGTTTGGGCTCAGTCAAAAGAATGGGCTGTGGAAAGCTCTCTCGTTAACGCGGCTAAGCTCCAACATTTTTTACACAAAAAACTATGTCCCTCGGAAAAATCAAAATAAAAGTTTCTGCACTTTTCAAAACTTTGTTAACATTTTAGTTTCGATCGAAAGATTGAATTAAAATAAATTCCTCAGCATTTTGTTCAAAATACTTTCCATTAGAATAATATGGCTGTTGAAAATTCGGATTTTTTTAACCATTATTTGAAAGTTTTTGCTTTTGCTCAAAAAAATACGCTCCCAAAAATGAGCTTCAAGATCAATGGGTATAGCAGCGTGTGGAAAATTCGCCTGCGTAAGCAGCTAGGTCAAAAAAAATTTAAAAACATTGTGGACCTCGAAATAGTCAAATATGATCTTTTTTTGTTTTTTGAACGTTTATTTGAAGCTTTTTTCTTACTTTTCTCGAAAACTCTTTTCTGCTTCCAAATCTGAGATTTTTGGTTCTTTTTGGTTCATCAAAAAAAGGTATGGAAAATTTTTCTGCATTACTATTTAAGCCCAAACTTGTTCTACACAAAAAGTTATCGCCCTCGGAGTAGTCTACTATGTAATTTTTTGACCAAGTTTTGAAGCTTTTTTCAAATTTTATCAATTACTCCGCTTACAAATGTGAAAAATATGGATTAAAAAAATTCAAAAAATTCCCCTGCATTGGCGGCTATGTATAGTGAAATTTCAGCTAAAAAACATGAGCATCGGATATTTTGGTTTTTTGAACTTTTTTGAAACTTTTGATTTTTCTCTAAAAAACGCTCATAAACATGAGGCTTATTATCAATAGATATGACAGCTTGTTGAAAGCTCCTCTGCATGGGCTGGTTGGATAGAGAATTTTGACAAAAACTTTATGGCTCTCGGAAAAGTCAAAAATGTGATTTTTTTCTTCCGTTTTTGGAAGCTTTTTGACTTTTCTCGAAAGCTCTGCTCCCAAATCTGAAATATCGAGTCCAGTAAAAATAATAGGCTGTGAAAAGTTATTCTGCACAAGCGGTTAAGCTGAAATTGGTTCACAAACAAAACATTGCCCTCGGAATAGCCAAAAAAGTGATGATTTGACCGTTTTTTGAAGCTTTTCAATTTTTCTCGAATTTCCCCTCCCTTATCTGAGGTTTTTTTAAATAAAAAAATGAACTGTGGGAAGTTATTCTGCATAAACAGCTAAGCCCACAATTTTTCGGTGCACGACTTTTCTCGAAAGCTCTGCTCCCAAATCTGAAATATCGAGTCCAGTAAAAATAATA